TTTTGAGACAGAGTCTCACTCTGTCACCTGAGCTAGAGTACTATGGTGTCAGCCTAGCTCACAGCAACCTCAAACTCCTGAGTTCAAGCAATCTTTCTGCCTCAACCTCCTGAGTAGCTGGGATACAGGTCCCTGCCATAATGTTCTGGTAATTTTTCTACTTTTAGTAGAGATGACATCTCCCTTTGTTCAGGCCAGTCTTGAACTCCTGACTTCAAGTGATCCTCCAGCTTCAGCCTCCCAGAGAGCTAGGATTACAGGTGTGAGCCACCATGCCTGGCCACATATATGCATTTATTTCACTCACACATGTATGAGTTTGCTGGAGGTCAGGTGATCAAAGCCAGGATCCAAACTGGGCCCTTTCCTTGTATCTTACACCTTCCTTTTGCCAATAGGCTAACTAAGGCATGTTCTTCTCATGGTAATAACAGTGGCATAGAATGGCAAGTGGAAACACACAGTGCCTCTGGAGGCCTAAGCTCAGAACTGGGATATGGCCACTTCTGCCCACGTTCCACTCTGCCCATATGGTGGGAGGTATGTTCTACCTCTAGTAGGAAGGATTACAAAATGGCACAGAGAAGGGCATGGGCACAGGATTGAAGAATGGGAGCACATAGTTCCATTTTTGTCACAGGATCACACACTCATATGGCAGTAAGCATGGTAAGCCATCTGTACAGAGTCCCTCAAAGGAGGCTGCAGGGATGACAGACAGTCCCACAAAGAGGCAGAGTGACAAATTAAAGGATACTTTGGTAACCTGTAAAAGTAACCACCACTAGGATTTAAAATATGCCTTCTAAAACACAGGAGAATGTAAAATCTTTAAAGGTCAGGAACAGAAAACATCAGAAACAACATGAAAATACATTTTTAAAAAGTATACAACAAGCTAACAGAAACAAAATCAAATATCAATTGTCAAAATAATTGTCTATGAGTCAGAGGCAAATAATCAGGGGAGGTTCAAAGGATTTTCTTTTTTCAGATGTCCTCTGATTGAAGAAATAAATTCTTCATAGATTTTCCTCAACTCCTTCATTTTATTTTTATTTATTTATTTATTTATTTATTTTGTAGAGACAGAGTCTTACTTTATCACCTTCGGTAGAGTGCTGTGGCGTCACAGTTCACAGCAACCTCCAATTCATGGACTTAGGCTATTCTCTTGCCTCAGCCTCCCGAGTAGCTGGGACTACAGGCACAACGCCTTTGTTTTAAATGGCAGGGATTCCTCCCAAATTCTGGCATTCATTTTGAGTTATAAGTTTTCTCCATTTTTCAAGTCTTGGTAGTGGCCTGAGTGGGCTCTTGGAAGAAACTACGTCAGAGGTCACTGGCTGGATGCCACTTTTCACATGACATCCTCATCATGTACCTTCTGAAGCCCTGCAGCGCTTCCTGTGACCCTCACCTCCTCCATACCACTACCACACCCTCCTTGGCTAGGATTAATTCTATGGGGGCCTTCACTCTCTTGTTTGCTCCTGAGACCTGTATCTGGATAGAGACGATACAACTGAGAATCCCTGTAGTCTCCAGCACAAGACCCTGTCCAAAAGCTCAACGTACTAATCTCCAATCAAAAAGGACTCAGTGTTCCAGCTGATAGAAACACAACTTGGGCCACATGCAGTGGCTCACCCTGTAATCCTAGCACTCTTAGAGGCCGAGGAGGGTGGATCACCTGAGCTCAGGAGTTTAATACTACCCTGAGAAAGAGCGAGACCCTGCCCCTACTAAAAATATAGAAAACCTAGCAGGCTGTTGTAATGGGCATCTGTAGTCCCAGCTGATTGAGAGCCCGAGGCAAGAGGATCATGTAAACCCAGGAGTTTGAGGTGGTTGTGAGCTATGATGCCATGGCACTCTGCACAAGGCAACAGAGTAAAACATTGTCTCAAAAAAAAAAAAAAAAAGGAAGGAAAGAGAAAGGAAGGAAGAAAGGAAAGAAAGAAAAGAAAGGAAAGACAACTTAAACCAGTTCATGTAATCAAAACTTTCCGCTTTTCCGGTCGGCATGGTTTGCGAGTGGAGTGTCCGCGGTACCCGGGCCTTCACCATGAGCGTCCCGGCCTTCATCGACATCAGCGAGGAAGACCAGGCTGCTGAACTTCATGCTTATCTGAAATCTAAAGGAGCTGAGATCTCAGAAGAGAACTCAGAAGGTGGACTTCATGTAGATTTAGCTCAAATTATTGAAGCCTGTGATGTGTGTCTGAAGGAAGATGATAAAGATGTTGAAAGTGTGATGAACAGCGTGGTATCCCTCCTCTTGATCTTGGAACCAGACAAGCAAGAAGCTTTGATTGAAAGCCTATGCGGAAAAACTGGTCAAATTTTGTGAAGGTGAACGCCCATCTCTGAGACTGCAGTTGCTAAGCAACCTTTTCCATGGAATGGACAAGAACACTCCTGTAAGATATACAGTGTATTGCAGCCTTATTAAAGTGGCAGCAGCTTGTGGGGCCATCCAGTACATTCCGACTGAGCTGGATCAAGTTAGAAAATGGATTTCTGACTGGAATCTCACCACTGAAAAAAAAACACACCCTTTTAAGACTACTTTATGAGTCACTTGTGGACTGTAAAAAAAGTGATGCTGCTTCAAAAGTTATGGTGGAATTGCTTGGAAGTTACACAGAGGACAATGCTTCCCAGGCTCGAGTTGATGCCCACAGGTGTATTGTACGAGCATTGAAAGATCCAAATGCATTTCTTTTTGACCACCTTCTTACTTTAAAACCAGTCAAGTTTTTGGAAGGCAAGCTTATTCATGACCTTTTAACCATTTTTGTGAGTGCTAAATTGGCATCATATGTCAAGTTTTATCAGAATAATAAAGACTTCATTGATTCACTTGGCCTATTACATGAACAGAATATGGCAAAGATGAGATTACTTACCTTTATGGGAATGGCGGTGGAAAATAAAGAAATTTCTTTTGATACAATGCAGCAGGAACTTCAA